TGTCAAAACAGTCGAGCAGGACTTGTGTGACAGTCTAACACCCGATCGGGTCTTTTGATACACGGCTGGGGACTTCTGACTGCCCACGGGTCTTTAAGGTTGAGACTGAAACTTTCGTCTGACCCAATTATCCAATTAGCTCGAGCAGGGACCAGACTGTGAGGCGATGACGGCTGGGACACCTGTGGAGGTGACGCCTGGTGTGGGGCCCGCAGGTCCTGAAGACCAGAACAACCAGAATCCCAATACTAGCTAGAACAGAAGGAGCTCTGTAGTGAAACCTCTGGTGAGACTTTTTTACCAGCCGACCTATTTCTCTCAGAGTAAACCGTGTGAGGTTTGCCAACAAGAATATGTTATGTGAAGATTTTGTATACTAAGCTCAAACCTACACCTTTTCTGTCAGCCATTTATGGTTGTCCTTTGTTCAAGTTAATCCCTCAATATATATTTTACGTCAAATCTGACGTGTATTTTTTGCTGGGAGGAGGGGAATTGTTCAAAAATGACTGAATAAAATACTGCTCATCCAAAAAGCATGTCTCATTTCTAGAGGTGTCCCGTGCCTCTAAATCTAAAGGTGCCATGTCTCTAAATGTAAATCTGATTTGACTTTGATTATATTGAAAAGTGCCTGACTATAAACAACATTATTTTAAGCACACCACAAATTGAACGCAACCTAATTTTCCAATACTAATAAATATATGCATTTAATTTATTCTAAATGGAAGTGCTGAGCAATACATTGCTGTAAAAATGGCTAAATTAAATAAAGGCTATTTTACAGCAGCCTAAAAAGAGTGGCAGAAACGAATCAACTCACAGACATTATCTGAACTATTAAGAGAAATTGATTATCTGAAATATGATCGGGAGCTGTGACTCTAAAACTACAGATGTGGAATCAAGAAAAGTATCTAAAAATATCCCAGATGTGAAGAATGTCAATTAAGACGAGTAGAACAGTAAAATGTGCAGAAATAAAGTGAAGAACTTTAAGAGCATTCTGTTTAGATATCCTGAAATAGGCTTTTATTAACAAGCGGGCTGAGCAAAACAATATTGAAACTCGTCGATCCTGCCTTCAATTTTAATGACAGAAATCATTTTAAAATTCATTTTAGAAATCATCTAATCCAATCTAATCTCCTCATATTTCAAATAATCTTCCACACATACTTCAAAGGTGGTCGAAGCAGCAAAACATAAACTGCTTGCCAAAAAGAATTTCATTATTGCCAACTCATGAGAGCGTCTTGAACGGGATGTTGAGATAATAACATCCCTTTGCTGTCGGAGCTGACTGTCCTCCCTGATTTGAAGTCAAGACATGACAGCATAAAGACTTCTGACTGTGGTGAGAAACCGTAGACGCTGAAATGCCTTTGTTACGTGACTGCGAGCGCTTACACCCTTCCGTCAGTTTTCCCAAATGGAGAAACATTTTAAAGGGGAAACCACAACATTTCTGTTTGCCCTCCGGCCACTTCCCCCCGATGGGACAAAGAGCAGCCTTGGCTTTTGACAGCTTCTGCTGAAGGTCTGGCTGCCACTTCATAGAGCCAAATCAGTTTTCTCTCCCTCCAGGCCCTTTTCCTCCTTTCCTCAAGGTAATTCGACAGCTGTGTGGTCGCATACTCGCACACTCCTCTGCCTCTTTAGATGCAGAGCATTAAGGGATTAGGGCCGAGCGAGAGAATCCATAGGAAGTGATCTTCACTGGAGACTTTCTCTGCTTTGATTTTGTTTGTCAAGCTTTTGTTTGATTTTTTCCCTATGAAATAGACATCAAGCTTTAATCGGGATTAAACGCACTAATGCTAAAGCACGATGAAAGGAACGTTTAAATCAAAAAGAAAACTGGCTAAAGATCTGAAGGTAAATTGTAGATTGATTTTTCTCTTGAAGGGATTATGAAAACAAACAGATGAGTAAAGTGTTGGCATCAGTCACACACATACACACAGGTGCGGGTGTGTCTTTGACAACAAAAAAAAAGAGCTGAAAAGTGTGTGTTGGTCTGTTGCAAAAAAAGTGTAGAGTACGGCCACTGTGGCGGTGCAACAGGCAATTATGTGTCACACATGACATCCTTGGAGCCGCTGTGTGTGTAATTACAGCGAAGGAAAATGACATTCTTCTCCAAACAAAGCAACACCAGCATCGTGCGTACAAAGATGAATACTTTTCATACCAGACGAGCGAGACAAGAAACAACCAACAACAAATATATTTATCTTTCTTAATGATGTTTATCCCTTGCAACAAAGATCTACCTTTGCACGACATTGTCCCAAAAAAAAAAGAAGAAACTTCAAAGTCAGCCTCACTTCAAAACAGGTGGCTCATTTTCTGAAACAATAAACCCATTTTACATTCTCGCAAATTAAGACTATGATGACACGCAAAATGCCCTCTCATAGAACGAGGGATTAGGGAGCAGAATGAAGCCGGCTAATGGGAAGACTCGGGCTCACATACCAGATACAAGCCACAAAAAAAAGAAGAAAAAAAAAGGCCTCAAACGGAGCGAGCACTGATGAATTTCAGGCTAAAACGCCCCAGACCATTTGTGAAAACACAGAGAAATGTTGGAAGAGATATTCCACCAAGATCTTTTTACAATTCAAAGTATATTTATCTACAGAAAGCATGTGGAGCATTCCTATAATGCCATACACAGAGTGCTTTTTCCCCACACATGTTTAATTCATAATGACATTTTTTTTTTTTTAGACATCCAGTTTTTTGTTGTTGCGCCTCTTTCATGTCATCGTGATGAAGAGGGTCGATTCATACAACCAAATATTAAAAGCGCTCATATCTTCTAATGCTTGACTTCATGAAGAAACACTTAAAACGTTTTATTTCATTCTAGAGCTTGAAAAGTAATATGATGTTGTCTCTACATCCCAAAATGTAAAGCTTATAATTATACTTCTGAAAGCTGTGAATAATCTTTTTCTCTAACGATGCAGATTTTACAAAAGGTCTTCAAAAATCCAGATTTTTAGAAGCCCTGACTTTCTGTACTTCCTGCAGGTTTTAACACACACTTATCTAATTTGCTATTTGAGCTACATGTGCTCTAAACTTCACCTTTTTCTGTCGGTTTGAGACTGGACGGGACTCGAGGAGGCCAAAAAAAAAAAACCGTGAGGAAATGCTAACAACATTGTTTCAATGTGAAATGTGAAGCCGTGTGGGCATCCTAACCTCAGGCGGCGTAAGTGGGGGAAAATGAAGACTGACAGGACTGATGTGAGGGGTGGGCCCGCAAATAAAAGGGACACCCAGGGTACGAGCGGGGGGAGAACAGAGGCAGCCGCCTCTTCATCACTCATCGCTTTGAACGTCTCGGAGCTCGAGTCTACCGCTACTCTCAGCGGCATGAGGAGAGGGGGGGGGCATTTTTGAAATACCTGAAGGGTATTTACACACCTGCTCAGTGTGAGGTGGAGGAGCACAGAGGAGTTAGAGCGGCTCTGTTTCAGGAGAGCCAACACATTTTCAACCTGAGCGCTAGGCTGATTGACACTATTCAGACACGACTACAAAAACAAAAGTGTGCAAACATTTGTATCACATTTATATCCATGACTCCCTGAGGTGACACAAAGGGGGGGGGGGTCACACTGTACCTACTTCATCATAAGCCCCGTTCACACATGCACTCCTGATGGTTTCCAGAAAATGTCAGGGCAGCCAGCCCCTGAAAGTCACAGGGTAACATTCTCAGAGTCCCTCGCCATGATGAAAGTTTTTGATTTTATAATAACGCCACATCTGACTGGACGTTTCCAATCAAGCACCAACAAGAGTGGAAAAGAACATACAGGTGAGCATATGAAGAGTGAGAAGCAGCGTCTCTATGCTCACGGAGATCAAAACAGAAACGCACAAGTTAGTATGATGAACATCATCACACCTGCTCACTCCATAAATGTTCCTGAATATCACCAGCTGCTTTCACAACCGCTCACCCTGACTTCTTGCAAAAAAAATAACTACGAGGCTGGCAGGGAAATTCTGGATACATTTGGTAAGTAAAATTCGGCCCTATGCATTCTCGGGGGGTATGCTGATCATTTATAAAAATCTGATTAGTGCATGTATCTGCCAATACCAGACTCCACATTTTTGGCTGTATTAGTACAGGAACGTCTCTTAAAAACAATAAAGACATCAACTGGAACAATGAGGAGCGATTGTGTGCGTGGGGGGTTTGGCCCCAAGGGCAGGAACTAGCAGCAAAATCCAGGTATTTGCCAAATTACAGACCAAAGACTCTAATAAGAGTTCAATGTGAGGCTGAGGGAGAGGTCACCCGTGATAGTAATATTCTTGAGTTATGGAGCAAATTCTTCAAAACAACGTCAACACTAGACGGCACAAGGGGGCCGTACCTACAGAACTAGCTCTAAGTGTCTTTGTTCACTAGCTGTCCTTGGTTTGCAGCTCCAAAAAATGCTTTCAGCAGAGAAATAATAACAGTGTTACAGTCAGCTAGGTGCATTTCTGAAATACGCAGCTAAAGAGGAATGCAGAGTGAGAACAAAAAGAGGGGATGTGCTGATTCTTTAAGAACAATGTCAACTCAAATGCATTACACATTATAATACCAACAGATATCCTGCCAGCTCTGACTCTAATCATCAACGTTTTCTTTCAAGAGGAAATGGATTGGTACTTATAAATACACAGATTAATGAGCAGGAACATCTGTACTGTTTACTGGAAGTCTTGAAACAATTACACAAACCATGTGTTGAATACTGTTTGGGATGTTTGCAGTGTGAGTAAATAAGCTGTGTTTACTCATTCATTTAACACAGAGTTTATTAAATACACCTGTACAATACAGCAGTGTCTCCTACTTCTGTGATACTATCACATCGGCAGGCTCATTTGTTTTTCAGTTCTGCGCGTGTGAAAAGTAACCATGCAGACCACATCATTCACTCTACAGGTGTAAGAGCTCCTTCAGGATAACTGACCTGGTTGATTGAATTGGCAGTGCACGAGGCGAGGCCGGTTCCCAGACACGACACAAAGAACATGAGAGGATCAAACGGCACTGGAGCCATCGCATAGCCAGCCGCTGCAGTGGTTACCACCAGAGCTGAAACCACAAAGCAAACGAGAATAAATTAAAAACCCATGATGTCTTCAAGAGTAACCTTTCTTTTGTTACAGGTAAAGAACACAACAAGGGAAATGTTTCATCGCTGTAGAAGTCAGGTTTACTTGAAACAGAAGGAGGGCAGTTTGGAGGGAAAAAGTAAACAGCCCACTATATTCAATTGAAGTTTAACCAGAACTACTTGGGACACTGGTTTAGCCAAGCTAAGGGTTTTTTGTTTTTTTTGCAAGGGCAAAAATGGCCCAAAATATCAACTTTAATGCCTCTTTATGGACTTATCTATTTAAAAACGACTAAATATCAGTCTTCACAACTATCCAGGGGCTACTGAAGCTCTGAAGTGGCACCTTAGATTACACATTTAAGATTTATTACGAAAACAAGAGTAGATTGGATCCAACGAGTATTTGGATCAAAAGTGGAGAAAGTATAATTCAGCGTAATTTATTTTTCTCAGTGACTTTAGTTTGACTCAAGATTTATTTGTTCTTTCATTTTTTTGGGGGGTCATATATATATTTTTGTAATTGTACTATGTTTTGATTGTGACATTAATCTCTTTGGTGGTAAAATCATTTTTCATTTTCACTGAAAAATCAATATTAAAGATCAAAATCACAATCATGGTATATTCCTTGGGCTTGCTACCAAACACAAGTATTTTCATAGATATAAAATATGTTATATTTTATGACAAATTAAATACGATCTATGCACTCTACCTGTAAGTTTGATTTTGGCAAGCTTGGCGTAAACATCTGGCAAGTCAGCCACATCCACTTTCAGCATCTTCCATTGTTTGTCCAGCCGTGCCTCCCTCGCCTCGTCCGTCTCCTCGTGGACATGAGGAGTCTCGTCTGAAGTCAAATCCGCACTGGACACAGAATCGTTTTGTAGTGCCCCATTTCTGAGGAGACATCCTTCAAGGAGGATAATTCTGGCTGTGCTTTACTGGTGAAGTCTGCAGGATGTGAAACTGCATCTGTGACCTCAGCATTAATAGTTGGTATTCTCTGCACCTGGCGCTCGATGCTGTCCTCTCTCTCGTCCACGATGGTGAGAACGGGAGCCTGTTTGGGGATGGCCCGCTGGTGAAGCTCGCTGTTCTTCTTTGTTACATACTGAGAACAAAACAGGAGGGCGATGAGATTTTTGTGGGATAAATCAATTCAATATCACACAATACAAACAAAAAGGAGATGTAGAGCACGGTGAAAGTTACCTGGCGTTTGAGGAAGTTGAGATGCTGGTACGTCAGCCAGTTTGACGGATCTCTTCTGTGCAGCTGAATGAGGCTGCGAGCACTCTGGTTACATCGAATGAGTTTCTGTTTCACACTTACACCGACTAAACCTACAAGAAATGTGGAAAGAAAATAAGTACAGTCACTTAGATGAACTGGTTTAATACTTTCTATTATAAAATAGATTTTCTATTATAGAATAGATAGAGCTGTCACTTCTGGTTTCTATACTGCTCTAATACAGTAAATTAAAATATATTGGTTGTGGTCAACAACATTTATTTTCAGCATTGTGTGACGTTTTTGGACCAAGCAACTAAGCAGTAAGATGTGAAAACTATCAACACTGCCAATTATGTGTGTCTACACTTTCTTTAAAGACAAATACTAAAAAGAAAATAGATAAGACTAAAGAACAGAATCAATCTTACTTAGAATATAGAAATGCAAAGATATACACAGCATCAAACAAATCAAACAATAAACAGCATGCACAGTGTTCAGTGACACGCAACAAGTAACTTCAAGGAGGACTTTGTAACTCTGACATTTAGCGTTTAAAAGTTGTACCGCAGGCCAAATTCAAAACATTGGAGTGACCTGTCTCCCCCCCGCCCTCTCTGCCATAGAGCTGATGTGCACACAGGTTTCTATTACAAAGAAGCTTCAGTGTTTAGCCAGCTCTGCATCAGTCAGTCGGACTGTTAACTTCACTCTCCTCAGTTAAAAACAGAACTGTGATTACATGATGCACACACACCACACATTCCAATCTGCACATTGCACTTTGACACTTAACACACTGACACTTTACACTGTTTACATTATTCTATATTTTGTATATTCAAATATTTCTTTTTTAAATTGTACATTATATTCTATTTTTACTGTGTATATGTGTATTAGTAATTTGAGTGTTTATTGCATGGCCTTGCGGAACAGTCTTTATACAGTGTGCAGTGAAACAAAAACAAACCATTTCACACCAGAATCAAAACTTAGCAGGAGGACATACTGGCTGCTGTGTAGCTAACACTTCAACATAGCATGTTTCCTTAATGTCTCATGATATAGTCAGGTCATGTTGTGATTTAAGTCAGTAGATATCTTACAGATTGGTCCTTTAAGATTCATTTATTTCCATCCTTCATAAAAGCAAATCTACAATTCTACAATTCACTTAGCAGACGCTTTTATCCAAAGCGACGTACATCAGAGAGTAAGTACAACACAAGCAAGGATCTAGAAAAAAGGGAACAATGTCAGTAAGAGCAAACGATCAGCTTTGAGTCTGATTGGACACACAGGTGCTGACAGGAAGTGACCAGAGGCAAAGCACAACATTGACGGCAGTTCTTGAGAGCTCTAATCAGTATAGAAACCATCTTATAAGTCATCGTTATCAAACAAAACCATCGTCATTATCATCATCATCATCATCAAATCATAATGATTCGTTAAATATACTTTTTTTACCAACTGCAATTGCACTTTATAACGACTCTCCTTTAAGTAAGGACAGAAGACATTTAAACTTTTAAACTTTAGCCTGAGCTGCATATATCAAATATCAAACTGTATTGTGGGCTCATGTTTTTTTGTATGGGTGGGATATGTATGTATATATGTGTTGTGTGTTTGTATATATGTGTTGTGTTGTGTGTTTGTATGTATATATGTGTTGTGTGTTTGTATATATGTGTTGTGTTGTGTGTTTGTATGTATATATGTGTTGTGTTGTGTGTTTGTATGTATATATGTGTTGTGTGTTTGTGTGTATATATGTGTTGTGTGTTTGTATGTATATATGTGTTGTGTGTTTGTATGTATATATGTGTTGTGTTGTATGTATATATGTGTTGTGTGTTTGTGTGTATATATGTGTTGTGTGTTTGTATGTATGTATGTGTTGTATGTATATATGTGTTGTGTTGTATGTATATATGTGTTGTGTGTTTGTGGGTGTATGTGTGTTGTGTGTTTGTGTGTATATATGTGTTGTGTTGTGTGTTTGTATGTATATATGTGTTGTGTTGTGTGTTTGTATGTATGTATGTGTTGTGTGTTTGTATGTATATATGTGTTGTGTTGTGTGTATATATGTGTTGTGTGTTTGTATGTATATATATGTTGTGTATTTGTATATATGTGTTGTGTTGTGTGTTTGTATGTATATATGTGTTGTGTATTTGTATATATGTGTTGTGTTGTGTGTTTGTATGTATATATGTGTTGTGTGTTTGTATGTATATATGTGTTGTGTGTTCGTATGTATATATGTGTTGTGTGTTTGTATGTATATATGTGTTGTGTGTTTGTATGTATATATGTGTTGTGTGTTTGTATGTATATATGTGTTGTGTGTTCGTATGTATATATGTGTTGTGTGTTTGTATGTATATATGTGTTGTGTGTTCGTATGTATATATGTGTTGTGTTGTGTTGTGTGTTCGTATGTATATATATGTTGTGTATTTGTATATATGTGTTGTGTTGTGTGTTTGTATGTATATATGTGTTGTGTATTTGTATATATGTGTTGTGTTGTGTGTTCGTATGTATATATGTGTTGTGTGTTTGTGTGTATATATGTGTTGTGTGTTCGTATGTATATATGTGTTGTGTTGTGTTGTGTGTTCGTATGTATATATGTGTTGTGTGTTCGTATGTATATATGTGTTGTGTGTTTGTGTGTATATATGTGTTGTGTGTTTGTGTGTATATATGTGTTGTGTGTTTGTGTGTATATATGTGTTGTGTGTTTGTGTGTATATATGTGTTGTGTTGTGTTGTGTGTTCGTATGTATATATGTGTTGTGTTGTGTTGTGTGTTCGTATGTATATATGTGTTGTGTGTTTGTGTGTATATATGTGTTGTGTTGTGTGTTTGTATGTATATATGTGTTGTGTTGTGTGTTTGTATTTATGTGTTGTGTTGTGTTGTGTGTTTGTGTGTATATATGTGTTGTGTTGTGTTGTGTTGTGTGTTTGTGTGTATATATGTGTTGTGTTGTGTGTATATATGTGTTGTGTTGTGTTGTGTGTATATGTGTGTTGTGTTGTGTGTGTATATATGTGTTGTGTTGTGTGTATATGTGTGTTGTGTTGTGTGTTTGTATGTATATATGTGTTGTGTATTTGTATATATGTGTTGTGTGTTTGTATGTATGTATGTGTTGTGTGTGTGTATTTATGTGTTGTGTTGTGTGTTTGTATGCTGGCTGCTGGAACACCTAAATGTCCCTGCTGGGATGAATAAAGTTTATCTTATAAGAACTTTAAATCCTCATCATGCCCACTTTAAACCTTCTGATACGTCCTCAGCTCACGTCAAGATTTTGTTGATACACAAAACTTGAAAACTGCTGTTGTGATATTTACTTATTTACAAACTAAGAGCTTCTAGTTTCTGGAGTAAACTTGTCTTCTAAGGAATTCAAAGCAACACCAGAGTAAAAACAACTCACTGTTTCAAGAGCTATAATGTAAGATTTGTGCTGAACATGTGTTTGAAGAGTGCTGCTTCAACCTGAGCTCTTCCTGCAGTCACATTGTGAGGTTTAACTTGTAGTTTACACACAAATTAAACCACAAAATTACAAATATTTACAGTTTAACATAATGCAGACAGTCAAAGTGTAACAGCAACATTTCACTTTACATGTTAACTCATGGGTTAAGCGATGTCGTTATAAAAACAGGCTTTAATAGTCTAATTGTAGTGTCTGCAGATGTGTCTGACTTCTCTTTAAGGTCACTGTTCTCCTCCAAACAAACATCTCAGGCACAGCTAGCTGCTAGCTGCTAGCTTCCGCTTTAGCTTCAACGTCTATTTGCAGATGATATAAAAGATAAATAAACTCTGAAATGTAACAACAGGTTACAAGTGATATCGCGTCCCGCGGTGCGTTACCTGACAGTCTGCTGCATGGTGTTTTAAACATGTTCTCGTATCATGAAGCCGGCTCCCGTTCACCTCTTACCGACCCCGCTTCACATGCAGCGCGCCGCCATTCTGACCTCGTTAGGTAAAGAGAAAGACTTCCGGGGTACGTGACGTCAGCCTGCCCGTTTCCATAGTAAAGGCTAAAGTGTCTATGGGAATGTCATGTATTTGTGTGGTAATTGTTTTTTTTTTAAGTAAATCTAAAGTAAAAACACAACAAAAAGTGTTGATACAGTTATATGAATTATGTTATGTATGTGTAAATAAATAAATAATATAAAAATAATTATGATTATACAGTTTACTTACCATAAAAGAAGACTTTTGTTTTCTTCATGTAAGAGCCAATATGCAAATAATTGATTGATACTAAATATCTAGTTGAAAATGATTAACATCTGATAACAGTAATTTCATGTAAATTCCTAATGTTTAAAATTGTTTTTAAAGGTATAATTTAGTCATTTATAAATGATAAAAAAATTGTTATTTTTTTATGTTTTTGGATGTTTATGTTATGACAGTCCGGGTCCGATATTGATGGAAGCTATACAGTTTTTTGACCGTGCGTTAGACCTGTATTTTACTTTGAAGATTTTTTCAGTAAACCTTTTAAAACGAAGGAAAGTTGTCCTGTCTTTTTGCTCGCGTTGCAAATACTGTGAGTTGACTCCAACAAGTGGTACAGAGGACGAAGAAAGACACTACACTTTACTTTCTTATTATTCCTGTATGTCTGCTGTTGTGTTATAGGCTGATATTAGGCTACCTGTTGTGTAACATATTTTCAGTTTTAAAGAGTTTTAAAACTTAATTCAAGCATAAAATAAAAAAGGAACTCCATCAATCATAGTACAAAGTGAATACAAAGTGCATATATTTATGAAAACGTACAGTTATATTATATAACAAATACAATGAAATTACATCGAAATTGCTACTGCTTGCTACAGCTAATAGATATAATAAGGAATTATGTTGATGAAATAATAGAAAACAATTTTGGTAGCCTAAACATTCAGGGGGAAATAATGCTTTGAAGTTATTTTGAGTTAAATTATATATTGTGTAGGTTTTGCTTTTTTTCATGTCATTAGGAATTAACTATTCTTCAGTGATTTTATTTTCTGTTTTCTTTAAGCCCCGACCTGACACTGCAATGTAGGAACATTTTTATGTGTCATAGTTCACGTTGTGTAAATATTGTTAAGGGGTGTAATCAGCTGTTTTCCTTTTACGTCTTGACTATTGCATGCAGGCTAAACACCATGGCTTAATATCACACTTGAAAAGAACTCAGCTATCCATTATTACGAGTGTTTTTCTGTGGACAAAACAAAATATCTGCTGTGAAAAATGACTGCAGAACATCTCATAGTTAGATGACAACAGGATAAAAAGCAGCCACACTTGTTAAATGGGCCACATGACATTTTCTGTGAAATAGTGCTTCCGCTCTTTTTCGCTGAAGCGTAACACTTAATGTCATAAAAGTATATGAATACATTTCACATCTTGGTCCTCATATCCGCTAATTCACAACACTGAAACAGTAGAGAAAGCCATGCTTTTTTATGGCGTTAACACCTGAGAAACTTAATTCAGTTCAGCTGTGTTTACTTAAAAATAAACATAAGCTGGAGTTTTACTTCCTTAGAAACCCAGAATACCAGAAAAACCTGTGCCAATGACCAATAAATCTGAGTTGTAGACGTGATTCATTTATTTCAAAATTGCTGTCTAATTCAACGTCTGGCCTTTTGTCTCCTGCCCTTGTGTGTCCTCTGACTGGCCCATGCTGTTTGGCCTGTTATTTATGTGTATGATCATGATCATCTTGATGGCCCTGACTGCCACGGCCAACAAGATGGAAACCCTCTGATTAATACTCTCTCCACTGCTTTCACTTTGCAGCCTTGCTTCATTGAAGTAAAGATAATAAAAAACAGTGTGGTCATCTGTTTCGTGGCAGAGTTTCATTTCCTTGAACAATAACATATTGGTGACCAGGAGGTCGATTATCACTCGGCTCAATCATCATATTTAATATAAAGAATGAAAACGTCGCCTGCTGTTTTCTTTTGCTAATTCAATTTAAGATGGTGTGATGGTGCAGTGATCATGTAAAGTGCACGTGCGGTTCATACACATAATCAAACGTCTTGTATGATTGGTTTTACAACTGCTCACGATTGAAACACCCTTTACAATAACAAGTGTTGTCTGTGAACTAGAAAGCCCCCGCTGCAATCCAAGCCGAGCATTCCAATTCTCCTGATTCATCTCGCTCATTCCCCCTCGACTGCCAGCGCCTCCTTCCCCGCTAAGATTACACCGTGTAATCTTCATGCACCATCAAGATGCAGCGCCTGATGAATGCCAACAATACACACAAGGCCATCGCTGATCCTGCACAAGAGCACCTTTATTACCGGAGATAACCATTATGTGCTTCTCTACAAGATTTCATTCCGCACTGACCGGGTCAACCACTTTGGGTTTTTTTATTTATTTTTTTATGCGAGTCCTGAAAAAGAAGGTTTATTGCTCGGGTTTTTACACCGAGTTATTTATTTCTTAAGTACTGTTATACACTTTCAATGTTCCGTGTTTGCTTCTGCAGGAATACACTTTTTTTTCCTTCTCAGAGCAGCATGAGACCTGCCAAGTTTATGGCTGTGCGGGGCACTGTGTCAAACCATAATCTTTTGTAGAGCAATCTGTAGGCTACCACGAGAAGATGACTGACATGCTTAACAGACTGTCAGGGCCTCACATTAACAAACAGGCTCATTCAGGAGAACACAAGGCACCCCTCCCCTCCCTTACTCTGGACTGCAATGGAATAATATTTGTTTATTGGATCAAGGACTAGTTTATATTCACTGCCGATGAGATGAGATCGGCTCTGGGGAATCAGGACTCAGCCTTCCTCATCCCTCTGTCTGAACATTAATCTGTAAGCTCTGGTTGATGGATTTCTAAATAATTAAGTGTATTCTTACGTCAAATGTTTCTTCATTTTATGGCCTCTTGAAATTTGGCTTAAAGTAGTTGAAGTGCATTAAGGTTCAATTTAAGTTGGGAGTCTCAGGCATCATAAATCTGAGTCACATTTAACCTTTAAATTAAACAAACAGAGTTAAACAGACTGTATGGATGAAGCGAAACACATTTTGACTGACTGGTTAATACTCAAAACTGGCATACGTTACAATCAATACAATGAAAACCTAAACATGTCTGAGTTGTCTGACCTAGAGTTAGAGAAGAGGAAAAAACCTCCTTACATGAAATAATTATTTAATTGGTCACTAAAGCAGGTTGGGGAAGTTTCTGCTAACCCTGTCATAATTAGCAGTTATCATAAAAATGAAATGTTGACGGATGTGTGCCTATTTGTTCTGGACACTTCGCTAGCTATGCTAACTGATAGCGATGTAAAGCTAGCTGACTAGTGCTATATTATGATAGAGTTAAATTCCCTCTGTTGGCGCTTAACACCGCCAATTAAAAACATCATCAAAAGCTAACTTAAATTCCACGCAAATAGATGACTGTGGTTGACACTCAGCATCCAAAACAGTCTGTAAACACCTGCAGCAGTAAAATACTTTGTCCGAATTATGAAAGTAGCCGAAAAAGGACTGTGTCACTTGATTTGATCTTGAGATTTGTCGCATAACTTTTGGAAAATCTGTCCCAGCATAACCACTTTCTACTCAAACAGGTTGTCAGAAAAGAGTAGGGGAACTTATATAACCAAATTTCCAATGTGGATGAATTATATATGTTTTGTAATTATGGAGGCTTTACCTAAATTAGATGACTAAATGACCATCGTCGATTTGGGCTTCCATTGGCTGTTAATGTCAAAATCAAATTTCTGACACAGGGTTTGTGGTGAAATGACGATAAACTGAGAACTTTTTGATTTGGGATTGGGTGAGTTTCCCTCCTAAAGTCTACTCTAGCTGTTTAGTGGCATGATGCCCTCCAGTGAATAAAGACGAGGCTTAACATGCCTTTAATGCCTTCTGACCATAAGGTGGCCTTAAAGACAGGACCTGGAGAACAGATGGAAAGAGGTGGAGTGGAATGGTTCAGGAACAATAGGAGGAGTTTGTGAGGTCTGTTCAACCCAAAGGGGTCTTTCAGAGGCTCTTTACAGTTATTTTAGCTCTGGTGGTGGTCTCAGTATGAGGGCCTTTATCACGCTGCTTTCACTGCTTCTTGAAAAAATGAAACAGCCATAAACATCCTCTCCAGAGAGGAACAAAGACACAAAAGGAGTCAAGGCTTTTATTGTTTAAGGGTGATGACGCATACGTTTTAAGAGTAAAAGCAGGCTGATGTCAGCTGGGGACTGCTGGTCCTATGGGGGTGTCTGACTAGAGAATGGGTTTGGGTTTTTTTGTCTTTGGAGTAATAGTTAAATATTACTTAGAGGAACAATGGATGGCTTTGAAAGACTCTGGAAGCTTGGCTTCAAACAGTAAAAAAGCAGATACGTTGTCAAAGAAGAGTGTCTCACTATGTGGCACAAAAATCTGGCTAAAAATAAACCCTAACAACAACAATAAAAACCAGGTCAATAACTGCTCATTTTGTTGTTGAGCCCATTACTCAAGACGGTGTGGGGGTTTGGCCATTAACATTTTAAATCGACATCTCCCCTGGCTTCACAAGCAGAGGATGCATGTGACAATCAGTGTTTTGCAGTTTTTAAAGCATCTAAGTCAGCATCAGAGAAGAAAGAAGAAGCTCAGCCTTATGAAGATTTTCTTTTCCATCAGTCAATATTTTATTCTGTTTAAATTTACTCTCATAGACGTCACTCATTTGTCTCTGTCTCTGGTGTTATGAAGCTCAACGTTGCTGGTCACCATATTGGAATTGATATCTCAACCTAACTGCTGATCAATCTATCATAAGGTAAACAGGTAGAGGTGAGGCGGGCCTTAAGCCGTCCATCAAACATCTACAAGGCGCCCGCCTGTCAGTCAGCTCAGCAGAGCCCCTATTCATGCAAAATTAGGCTCAATATAACCAAAACAGATAATAATATGATGAAGATAATAAATAAAAA